ACCTCTGTTAACTTCTCCTGGAAGCACGAGAGCCAAGATGTTGGCAGCGAAGTGGCTCTTTGTTTCTTTAAAAGTGTGGGCACTAAAACGCTGTAGAAGACTGAAACTCCTAAACAAGCAACCATGTTTGAGAAAATCTGTTTGGCTTGACATTACATGTCTTGCTCCAGACAAACCACACAGAGTAAGCAAGCATTGTTCTTGGCTTACCACTCATTGTTTGTTTGGCGGAGACAAACCATGAGTCTGGCTTGGGCATAATGCTAAGCCAAACCATGGCTTAGGTCCCAGCAGCACAGCAACAGCAGGAGTAGGGGAGGAATGAATCAGCTATGATTTCTCCACCGTGCAACCAGCTTGCTTGCTTGTTCACACAAAGCCATAATACGGTTTAGTGTTACATGCAAATATGAAAGGTGGCCTTCAGCCCTGGTAAACGAAACCTTGCATTTTCATGCTAGGGTGCTACTAATATTAGTGTAATTTTCAAAAAGCATACAAAGAGATTTGCTCATGGGGCATCAAAATAGAAAAGGTAGGGTAGCTTATAAGGGAGGGTTGGTTACAAAGTGCTACCTTTCCATGTAACCATCCCCTCTTAAGTCAGTCAACAGCATCATCCTGCCAAATAGTGGATTTTGGAGGTCTGTGGAAGGAGAGGGATGCATTCATCCTCCTTGGAAGACGGCTAGATTGCCAAGTGGTAACATGAACCCTGGTGATAAGTGACCATTTGGTAAATGGTCTTCTGTACACATGCACCCAGTTGCAAGGCTCTTTAAGAAAAAGACAGGGGAAAGGGGCAGTGGTGTAGCTAGCCACTTCGGAGCCTGGTGCGGAGCTGATTCCTGCAGCTGGGGGTGGGGTGATCCGTCTGTGGGGGTGGGGTGAGCTGCCCACGGGGGCAGGGCATTCCACCCATGGGGGCAGGGCGAGCCTCTCTGACACTTGGAGCCTCTCTGCCCCTCAGCTGTAGGGCGGCTGAGGGAGAGGCAGTAGGCAGACGTTTCAGGCAGCACAGAACCTGCAGGCACCTAAGCCACCACGTCACTCCTAAAAAGTTTCATGAGTGCAATTTTTTTCATTAAAAAAACCTCATTTTGTCACACACACCCCTCAGTGATGACACCCGGGGCAGACCACACACCACGCACCCTTCTTCCTCCACCATTGGAAAGGGGGCACCCACAGCATTTTTGGGGAAAAAAATGTTAATCCAAGTTTCTCTGCTCAGCTGAACAGCGGCTGATATCTCAAGGCTAAAATACAAGAGAGAAAGTCAGCCACTTGTTTGCCGTGTCTATCAATCTGCATAACTAACTTTAAATTAGAATTCAGGCATGATCAGCTCACAATCCCCCTTCCTGATTAAAGAAATCAAATGCAAACCAAATAACCCAGGAGGAGAACCCACTCTTGTATCTTATCAGGGCATCCGACCTGCAATAAAAGCAGGGCTGAGACAAGAACTTTGACGTTATCCTTGCAGGTGTTTATAAATGAGAGGAAGATCAAGATAACTGCAAGCAGTTCTTTTCATCTAAGGTTGCAACCTTGATTCCAGTCTTTATCTCTTGGCCAACCGGGCAAAATGCCCATGGCATTAGAGTGAACTGTATGCAAATAGGAGTTGGTGATTATCCTGGGGCTTTAGCTGTAGCTGCCGCTAATGGCTGTATGACATAGTTTTGCTTCCTCTTTCCAGAATAGATGCCCATGTACATCCAATGCTTTCAGTTGTTTCATAACAGGGCAAACAGCACTTTCCACTGCACCAGGGGTCCTTCCAATTTAGCAAGGCTCCAACACACCTACACACCAACACACCCACCCTCCAATTCATTTTTTTCCGTCTGTTATTCTGTGCAGGACGCGGTCTTGAACAATGGGAACAGGAAGAAGGTGAGAATGTTCCCGCAGTACTTTGGATGTTATAGTCTACAAGTGGGACCTGTAGTAGCAACACCATCACCAACAACAACAGCAGCAGCAACAACAGCAACAACATTATTTATATGCTGTCCCAGCCACACTGGGCAGCTCCCAACAAAGTATTAAAAACACAATAAAACACCAAACATTAAAAACTTCCCTATACAGGGCTGCCTTCAGATGTCTTCTAAACGTCAGATAGTTGTTTATTCCTTTGACACCTGATGGGAGGGTGTTCCACAGGGAAGTCACCACTCCCAAGAAGGCCCTCTGCCTGGTTCTCTGTAACCTCACTTCTCACAGTGAGGGAACCACCAGAAGGCCCTCAGTGCCGTATTTCAGTATCCGGGCAGAATGATGAGGGTGGAGATACTTCTTCAGGTATACTGGGCCGAGGCCGTTTGGGGCTTTAAAGGTCAGCATCAACACTTTGAACTGTGCTCAGAAACGTACTGGGAGCCAATGAAGACCCTTTAGGACCGGTGCAGAGTGCTTCTGCTATCCTCCAGGACACTCCATAGCTAGCAGGACCAGTAGTCAGGGATGATTGGAGTTGTAGTCCAAAAACAGTTGGAGATCCAAGTCTGGGAAACCTTGCTCTATTCCATTCTTCCCTCCCAACCAGTTTTCCATTCCGCCCCCTCCCCCAACAGTCAGTCAGTATCTCATTGCCATTGAGCATACTCATTTTTCATCGGGCTTTTTGGGGGGGGGGATAGGGTATCCTCTCCTTTGGTGACCTGTGCAGGACCTGAGTGGGAGAGCACTCTCCTCTCCTGCAGTCTCCAGCAACTGGTATTCAGAAGCTTTGATGCCCCCCAACCATGGAGGAAGAGCATAAGCTATGGCACCCTTGCCTGAACCTCAGAAATGGGCAGAAATAAATGAATGGCTGTTAATGGTGATGTTGCAGATTGAACATCAGACTAAGGGCTGGGAGAACCTGGGTTCAAATTCCTGCTTTGTCATGAATCTCTCTGAGTTACCTTTGCCTAATCACTATCTCAGAGGATCATCACCATGAAGATAAGAAATGGGATACACACCCATGTGATCTACCTTGTGCCTCTTCTCAGGAAAAGCAAGATGCAGCCATGAGAGAAAGACAAATAGTCAATCTGATCACAGAGCAGACAAAGTTCTTTACCGCCCTCTGAGGAGTCCATGTCTTGGATAGCATGCCTGGCCTAGAGTTTTACAGGAGGACCGTGAGGCGGGGATAAGCAAAACAGCAACAAAATACCTTAAGAAGGGAAGGGCCAAAAGCAGTCCAGTAAAGATTGAGCCTATACAGTGTCCACAGAATGCTAACTGTCGGCTGAGGTGGGAAATTAGTGTGCGTGTTGGTGGGGATGTAGAGGAATGGAATATCCTGGAAAAGGAGGGTGCTAAACTCAAAACTTGCAACTGGAAAGGAAAGCATTATTTGGCATTGGATATTTCAGCTTTGCTCTTCTCAGTGAAAGAAGCAGTTGCCAGCTAATTTCATCCTCTCATTGTTGCCCTGATTCCTTCATGGTACTGTTGAAGTGATAATACCCTCTCCAATGGTAGACCCCCCCCCAATGGGCCAGTGTCGTCATGCAGCCATGCTCTGCAACCTATTGAGCAATCCCAATGTCTCTAGTACCTCTTACCATATTGTTCCAGAGTCCAACTCCGAGAACAGCAAATTTGTTTTTCACCGAAGTCTTTTTTGCGGAATAGTCATTATCTCGCCTGCCCTGGAAGAGAAAAAAATTCTGGTGAGAATATTACAGAACAGTTTTGAATTCACTGCCCATTCCCTCTAGCTGTGGGCCCATGTGCAATGAACCTGGGGTTACTGGGGTCAGAAAGCAGACAAAAATGACATGACGAATCTTGGGATCAAATTGGGGCCATAACTTTATTGATTACGGATGTAAGTAGGTTTTGGTTTATGCATTGGGTACGTATCCTGAATCAACCAACCCAACTGCTAGTCGATCCTGGGTTAAGGATCCCACCATGACACACAACAAATGGAGTGATCTCTCCAGGACGCCATTTGGGAAGTTCTATGGGCCGTTAGCCCCCATCAGGGCATTTAGACAGAATCCTTCCCCCTGGACCCCTTTACCGGGGTACCCTGATACTTGATCCTGAAAGGGGGGTAGGGCTCGTTCCCACCCCACCCCCTTGTTTAGACTAACAATTCAACCCTATGCCTTCTTTCACTAGCAAGTTGTGACAGTTGCTATGAGGTGGGCAACAACCTCAGATTGGTCCAACTGGTCTGCAGGCACATTCCTCCCTGGTCCCAAATATGGCGACCAATTAGTTCCATAGCACACGTGCTGCACACTTGCCATCAGGCAGAGCCAAATGTACGGGAAGGGTGGGTGGGATGTCTGAAGACTGACTGCCCTGCTGCCTCTGAGTGTAGTTGATTTAAAGGGATTGGCCACAGATCTGACTGAAGCCAGGTGTGCCCAGGTCCAATCACAGGTTGGTCACAACTGAATTTCAAATTTCCTGCCCCATCCCAACCCCATCGTGACCAGCTGAGGCTGATGAAGCGGGAGGGTTTTTCCTACCCACCCTGGCCTTCCCGGACCTGTGCTGGTCTGCAAATGCCACCGAGAATGGCAATTGGTCTATGTTGTTGGACTCCATCTCCCATCAGCCTTTGTCATCATGGCCAATAGTCACATGTCATGATTATTCACTCGCAACCCAGCAAATATTTGACAACATGGCACCTGGGAGTTAGCAGTCTTGTTTTCAATACTTTATAAGCTCTCACAAAAAGAAGGGCTGTAGTTTAATAGTAGAGGGTGTGTTTTGTATGCAGAAAGTCCCAAGTTTAACCCCTGGCATCTCTAGATAGGGAAAGACCCCTGGCTGAAATCCTAGCAAGCCACTGACAGTCAATGTGGATGATAGTGAGCTAGACGGGCCAATTATCTGACAAAATAACTTCTTGTATTCAAAGAATGTCAAGGTAACAAAAGGGGGAAATAGATTCAGGTAGGTAGCCGTGTTGGTCTGACGCAGTAGAAATATAAATAAAAATTTAAAAATTGTCCAGTAGCACCTTAGAGACCAACTAAGTTTGTTTTTGGTATAAGCCTTTGTGTGCATGCACACTTCTTCAGATACCATGCATGCACGCTTCTTCAGGTATCTGAAGAAGTGTGTATACACATGAAAACTCATACCAAGAACAAACTTAGTTGGTCTCTAAGGTGCTACTGGACAATTTTTTTATTTTTTTATATATATTTCAAAAGGGGAAAATAGTTTGCTGTTTTTCATGTTCCCTTATTTTCATATGAAGAAAATAAAAATCATCTAGATTGCATGGATTGTCTTCCCTGACATATGGAAAACTGATTTCCCTTGCAGGCCAAAAATCATATCGTTTGATTACTCTCTTCAAGGTACAGTTATTTTTCTAGGACCAGCAGGTATTACCTAGAAGGAACACCTCAACCATAGCTCACACTCACTTTTGCAAGAGGCATATTTGCTTCTTGCAGAGAAGTCTGGAGAACCACAGCAAAATCATCCTTCTGGCCATACTTCCTTGATGCCAGCAGATTTTCCAAAGAGTTCTGCATATAAGGATAAGCAAACAGTTAACAGGATGAACTCTGTCCCCGAACCACAGAGAACATAGCACAATGCACAGATTTGCCCATGGCTTAAATGAGTTTCAGAGCCATCTCTACTAGCTAATAAGCCAGAATAATCAAATTATACAGTCAAAACACAAAAGTAATTCCATGAAAAAGCATCTTATGCAACCATTAGGAAACGACCCAGCGGCTACGAGGTGAATTGCATAAGGTCGTTTTCTTAGAAAGAGCAGAAACCTAGTAATTAGATCATGTGGTTGGCCCTGCATAAAGCTCAGAAACAGGAACACCCCAGCTAGCTAACAGTACAGGATATGGGCAGCTTTTGCCACCTGCTAAATATTCCGACATGCTTTTGCAGTAGAGACAACATAATTAACCAGCTTGGCAAACAGAGCTTTCATTAGCTACAGCTGGGATAGCACAATTCCTCAATTCTCCCCTCTGCAGTTGTTGTAACACCATTTGAAAATTTTGGGATTTCAGCTGTCATGTATCACTAGGATATGCAGGGCATTTTTGAAAGCTTGCTCCATCCCTGGCACCTCCAGTGCTGGGAAAGAACCTTTTCTGCCGGTCAGCATAGGCAATGTTGAACTAGACGGACAAACAGTTACACTCTGTATAAGGCAGCTTCCTAAATATATTCCCACCTCCCACCTCCCCCCGGTTGCTGACACAAAATTCTTATGAAATAATGAAGGCAGCATACCTTATGCAAATGCATTATGCAAACTAGACAGCTTTACTCAGTTTGCATAACTGATAGATTTATGTTGAAAACAAAGAGCAAGGCATTTGACAAGGTGCCTCATGATATTCTTGTAAAGAAGCTGGTAAAATGCGGTCTTGACTATGCTACCACTCAGTGGATTTGTAACTGGCTGACTGACCGAACCCAAAGGGTGCTCATCAATGGTTCTTCTTCATCCTGGAGAAGAGTGACTAGTGGGGTGCCACAGGGTTCTGTCTTGGGCCCGGTCTTATTCAACATCTTTATCAACGACTTGGATGATGGACTCAAGGGCATCCTGATCAAATTTGCAGATGACACCAAATTGGGAGGGGTGGCTAACACCCCAGAGGACAGGATCACACTTCAAAACGACCTTGACAGATTAGAGAACTGGGCCAAAACAAACAAGATGAATTTTAACAGGGAGAAATGTAAAGTATTGCACTTGGGCAAAAAAATGAGAGGCACAAATACAAGATGGGGGACACCTGGCTTGAGAGCAGTACATGTGAAAAGGATCTAGGAGTCTTGGTTGACCACAAACTTGACATGAGCCAACAGTGTGACGCGGCAGCTAAAAAGCCAATGCAATTCTGGGCTGCATCAATAGGAGTATAGCATCTAGATCAAGGGAAGTAATAGTGCCACTGTATTCTGCTCTGGTCAGACCTCACCTGGAGTACTGTGTCCAGTTCTGGGCACCACAGTTCAAGAAGGACATTGACAAACTGGAACGTGTCCAGAGGAGGGCAACCAAAATGGTCAAAGGCCTGGAAACGATGCCTTATGAGGAACGGCTAAGAGAGCTGGGCATGTTTAGCCTGGAGAAGAGGAGGTTAAGGGGTGATATGATAGCCATGTTCAAATATATAAAAGGATGTCACATAGAGGAGGGAGAAAGGTTGTTTTCTGCTGCTCCAGAGAAGCGGACACGGAGCAATGGATCCAAACTACAAGAAAGAAGATTCCACCTAAACATTAGGAAGAACTTCCTGACAGTAAGAGCTGTTCGACAGTGGAATTTGCTGCCAAGGAGTGTGGTGGAGTCTCCCTTTTGGAGGTCTTTAAGCAGAGGCTTGACAACCATATGTCAGGAGTGCTCTGATGGTGTTTCCTGCTTGGCAGGGGGTTGGACTCGATGGCTCTTGTGGTCTCTTCCAACTCTATGATTCTATGATTCTATGATTCTAAGAGGAAGGGTTGTATATTATTTGTGTTTGGAGGCCCATAATGCGCAAGAGCTGTAGACACACTGGCATCTGCGTTGAGATTCCTGAGCTGGACAGAGTTGATCCTGGGCCAACTCCGTTGCTTGAAGAGGGGAAACCAAATTTATTCATCAATTCCCTGCCACCATAACTTCCTTGGAGGAAGAATGCAATACAAACATAGAATCATAGAATCATAGAATCATAGAATCATAGAGTTGGAAGAGACCACAAGGGCCATCGAGTCCAACCCCCTGCCAAGCAGGAAACACCATCAGAGCACTCCTGACATATGGTTGTCAAGCCTCTGCTTAAAGACCTCCAAAGAAGGAGACTCCACCACACTCCTTGGCAGCAAATTCCACTGTCGAACAGCTCTTACTGTCAGGAAGTTCTTCCTAATGTTTAGGTGGAATCTTCTTTCTTGTAGTTTGGATCCATTGCTCCGTGTCCGCTTCTCTGGAGCAGCAGAAAACAACCTTTCTCCCTCCTCTATATGACATCCTTTTATATATTTGAACATGGCTATCATATCTCCCCTTAACCTCCTCTTCTCCAGGCTAAACATGCCCAGCTCCCTTAGCCGTTCCTCATAAGGCATCGTTTCCAGGCCTTTGACCATTTTGGTTGCCCTCCTCTGGACACGTTCCAGTTTGTCAGTGTCCTTCTTGAACTGTGGTGCCCAGAACTGGACACAGTACTCCAGGTGAGGTCTGACCAGAGCAGAATACAGTGGCACTATTACTTCCCTTGATCTAGATGCTATACTCCTATTGATGCAGCCCAGAATTGCATTGGCTTTTTAGCTGCCGTATCACACTGTTGGCTCATGTCAAGTTTGTGGTCAACCAAGACTCCTAGATCCTTTTCACATGTACTGCTCTCAAGCCAGGTGTCCCCATCTTGTATTTGTGCCTCTCATTTTTTTGCCCAAGTGCAATACTTTACATTTCTCCTGTTAAAATTCATCTTGTTTGTTTTGGCCCAGTTCTCTAATCTGTCAAGGTCATTTTGAAGTGTGATCCTGTCCTCTGGGGTGTTAGCCACCCCTCCCAGTTTGGTGTCATCTGCAAATTTGATCAGGATGCCCTTGAGTCCATCATCCAAGTCGTTGATAAAGATGTTGAATAAGACCGGGCCCAAGACAGAACCCTGTGGCACCCCACTAGTCACTCTTCTCCAGAATGAAGAGGAACCATTGATGAGCACCCTTTGGGTTCGGTCAGTCAGCCAGTTACAAATCCACTGAGTGGTAGCATAGTCAAGACCGCATTTTACCAGCTTCTTTACAAGAATATCATGGGGCACCTTGTCAAATGCCTTGCTGAAATCAAGGTAGGCTACATCCACTGCGTTCCCTTCATCTACCAGGCTTGTAATTCTGTCAAAAACGAGATCAGGTTAGTCTGACATGACTTATTTTTCAGAAATCCATGCTGACTATTGGTGATCACAGCATTCCTTTCTAGGTGCTCACAGACTGTTTGCTTAATGATCTGCTCCAGAATCTTCCCTGGTATTGATGTCAGACTGACTGGGCGGTAATTATTTGGGTCCTCTCTTTTCCCCTTTTTGAAAATAGGGACAACATTTGCCCTCCTCCAGTCTGCCGGGACTTCGCCTGTTCTCCAGGAATTCTCAAAGATGACTGCCAGTGGTTCTGAGATCACATCTGCCAGTTCTTTTAATACTCTTGGATGCAGTTCATCTGGCCCTGGAGACTTGAATACATCTAAACTAGCCAAGTATTCTTGTACTATCTCCTTAGTTATTCTGGGCTGTGTTTCCTTTGCTGAATCATTTGCTCCAAATTCTTCAGGTCGGGCATTGTTTTCTTTATCGGAGAAGACTGAGGCAAAGAAGGCATTGAGGAGTTCAGCCCTTTCTGTGTCCCCTGTTTGCATTTCACCATCTTCTCCTCTGAGTGACCCCACTGTTTCTTTGTTCTTCCTTTTGCTACTGAACATACCCATAAAAGCCTTTTTGTTGCTTTTAACCTCTCTAGCAAGCCTGAGTTCATTCTGTGCTTTAGCTTTTCTGACTTTGTGTCTACACGTGCTGGCTATTTGTTTGAATTCCTCTTTGGTGGTTTCCCCCTTTTCCATTTTTGTACACATCCTTTTTAATCTTAACTCAGTTAAAAGTTCTTTAGATAGCCACCCTGGCTTCTTTAAGCACCTTCCATGTTTCCGTCTCATTGGTATTGCCTGACGTTGTGCTTTTAGTATCTCCCTCTTAACAAACTCCCAGCCATCATGAACTCCCTTTCCTTTTAGTATTATTGTCCATGGGATCTCACCCAGCACTTCCCTAAGTTTTATGAAGTCGGCTTTCTTAAAGTCAAGAAATTGAGTCCTAGTATGCTTGGCTGCTCCTTTCCGCTGTATAGTAAACTTCAGAAGAGCATGATCACTCGTGCCTAATGATCCTTCCACTTCTACCCCACTAACCAGGTCATCAACATTGGTTAGGACCAGATCTAAAATGGCTGTTCCTCTTGTTGCTTCTCCCACTTTCTGGACAATGAAGTTGTCTGCAAGGCCAGTGAGGAATCTGTTTGACCTTATGCTCTTTGCTGAGTTTGACATCCAACAAATATCCGGGTAATTGACGTCCCCCATTACTACTATCTCCCTTCCTTTTGCATGCTTGGCC